AGATATAAATACAATATTTTATATATTGTTATATAGATTACTATATAATATGTTACTATTATATATTACTACATAATACAAATCAAATAGACTTACAAAATAGAGTTGGAAGGGACAGTCAAGAAGTAACGAGAGAAGGAGGGAAAGAGGGAAGGAATGAAGGCGGGAAAGGGGGAAAGAGAGAAGGAGGGAGGGAAAGAAGGAAGGAAAGAAAGAAAGGTAGAGAAGCAAGAAAGGAGAGAAGGAAATAAAAAAGTGAAAGGAAAAATACAGGGAAGGAAGGATGTAACCAAAGAGCAAAGAAAGGGAGGAAAGAAACAGGTAGAGATGGAAGAAAGAAGAAGATAAAGGGAAAGAAAAAGAGGAAAGGAAGGAGAGAAAGAGGGAGGAAAGGTTGGCCACAGCAACGTCTGGCGAGTACAGCTAGTAAGTTGACATATTTACACAACTTTCCATCTGATTACTGTGTTGGAGCCGATAGTTCAGGGGCCACGTATCTGTATATCACTTGATTCCCATCACATACAAGTGAATGTGTGAAGTGACAGTATGAAAGGTGATGCTTGATCTGTGCTGCTGAATTTGGATATATGTTGCCACTTGGAGAGATAGAAAGACATCAACTAGAGAAACAGCCTTGTAGTAACAAAATATTGTTATATCATTATCTTTTATAGACAAGAGTCCACTTTTTAAAAATATATTCATTGGAGACAAACTGGTTTCCCAATCAGGTTATACTTAGCATAAGCCCAAAAGTGAAACTTGACATATTTGTTTTTCTTATTTGTTTTCTTCTGGAATTTTTTTTCCACATCCCAACATGTTATTAAAACATTTACTGTTAGAAAAGAAACCAAACTTGAAAAACAGTGTAAATGTTGTGCCTTACTTCAAAGGGGAATTATTGTTTTATTTGGACCGAATTGTTTGCAACTTGTCTGGGAAATGACCTGAGGCATCCCGGAGGGTTATTTTCTCACCTGCCCTGACAAATCAACTGGTTGAGCTTGACAGTCCTCCACTTCTCATTGAATGTTGAAATGTTGGAATTGAGAGAAACTGAAAGAAATGGGTGGAGGAGAAAACTTCAGAATCAATGCCTAAGGAGAAATGGGTTGATTTGGGAGGGGTGGGGGCTTCACAAATATTTAAGAGGTGCTAATGGAGATGGAGCCAGGGGTCTTTCCAGGTGGTCACCCTTAAAATTGTTTACCCTTTCCACTGTGCATGATTTCCTACAGTGAGGCATTCACTAGATTTAAAAATAACTATTTTCTTTGTATCTCAAATTAGACATCAATTTCTGTAGCTTTTCAGTGTGCTTTAAAAAACACATCATTCCAGATACTTAGATGTTTTGGATATAGAGGGACTATTTCATACGTATTTGCCTTGACAGCCAAGTGAATGGATGTCATAAGGAAGAGGGAGCAGGCTTGTTTTTTGCTGCCCTGGAAACTAGGACTTGGTTCAAATTATAGTTCAAATTATAGAACTTGAACTTTAGAAAAAACTTCTCTGCCTCGGGATGTGGTGGAGGCTCCTTCCTTGGAGGCTTTAAACAAAGGTTGGGTGGTAATCTGTCAAGGGTACTTTATATGTGATTTTCCTACATGGCAAAGGGTTGGGCTAGATGGCCCATGTGGTCTCTTCCAACTCTATGATTCTATAATTCGATGGACCTCTTCACACTGGGCTAAAACAGTCCCATTTTGCCTCTTTTGGCTGGGGACCGCTGAATGTCATCAGTTGGCACATGGCAGGACTCACCAACATTCCTCCTACAGTTGAGGGGAAGCACTGCAAGGCACTTTTTCCACCATCACAGAGAGGGAAGTGTGTTTTGAATAATTCTGTTGGAGCTACCCACACTTTTCTCCCCTTTTCCCCATATGATGGGTAATGTGTGTTGCCATGCATTTACCACCCTTTCTCCCATCTGATGGGGACAGGGTGCCAACACACCCTGTCCTGTCCCCACTGTATAATGAAGGAAGGAGGGAAGGCGCACAGGGTCCATGACTGCAACGAAAGGGCCATGTGAAGAGGTCCCAAGTTTTCTCAGTCTGGACAATTGTGTTGAGGAACATTGCTTGAGGGACACAATATCTCTGATTGAGTTTGAAGATGCTCTGTTCCTATGGCCTTTTGTGACGATTGAAGCTGTACTTATTCTGGAGGCTTGTGACTGTTCAAAGTATGCCTTTGCCTCTCTATTATCAGTTTTGTATATTTTGCTTATGAACCTGTTAGTTTATATTGAGTTTTACTTTTTTGTTGTTGTTGGAAGCATTGTGGGGAAGTGTATGCAAAGACTTGAATTACCATATATATATATATATATATATATATATATATATATATATATATATATGCTATACTTGTATACCGCTGTTTCTCAGCCTAGCCGGTGACTCAACGCGGTTTACAACAAAATACAACAATCAACAGTATACAGTTTAAAACCATAAAAACATTATACACAATATTTGCATATCAATAACATATATATACACACACACACACACACGAGGGGTATTTTTTAAGTAAGGTCCATTTGAAAATAAGTACACAACGAAAGTTTATTTTGAAAAAGTAAATTTATTTTCAGAAAGTACATACTTCACTCTATTTTTCGACATAGTTGCCAAGTTTGTTCAAACACTTATCATACCTCTGAACCAATTTTAAAATACCCTCTTCATAAAAACTTGCCGCCACCAAAAGCCACCAAATCGTCTGTAATCAAAGAAGGGCGACTGGAGGGATCCTCATCATGGACGTTGTCACGGCCATCTTTGAATTGTCGTACCCACTTACGCACTTTGCTTTCACTCATAACAGTATCACCGTACACTTCACAAATCTGTCGATGAATTTCTGCAGCAGGCAGGTTCCTTGCTGACAAAAACCGTATCACTGAGCGAACCTCACATGCGGAGGGTGAGTTGATAGTCTTAAACATTTTTAAAGCACAGAATAGAACCGTACAGGTTAGCTACAGTACCGAGACAGCCTTGGTCGCCTTAGTGGATGATCTGCGTCGGGAGCTCGACAGGGGGAGTGTGTCCCTGTTGGTGCTGCTCGACCTCTCAGCGGCCTTCGATACCGTCGACCACGGTATCCTTCTGGGGCGCCTCGCGGGGATGGGTCTTGGAGGTACTGTTCTGCAGTGGCTCCGCTCATTCCTCGAGGGTCGGTCTCAGAAGGTGTTACTGGGAGACTCCTGTTCAACCCCACAACCTTTGTCTTGTGGGGTTCCTCAGGGTTCAATACTGTCTCCCATGTTGTTTAACATCTACATGAAGCCGCTGGGTGAGATCATCCGGAGTTTCGGAATGCGATGTCATCTGTACGCAGATGATGTCCAACTCTGTCACTCCTTTCCACCTGCTACTAAGGAGGCTGCCGAGGTCCTGAACCGGTGCTTGGCCGCTGTGACGGTCTGGATGGGGGCGAACAAATTGAAATTGAATCCAGACAAGACAGAGGTACTCCTGGTTAGTCGCAAGGCTGAACAAGGTATAGGGTTACAGCCTGTGTTAGACGGGGTCACACTCCCCCTGAAGACGCAGGTTCGCAGTTTGGGTGTGATCCTGGACTCATCGCTGAGCCTGGAACCCCAGGTTTCGGCGGTGACCAGGGGAGCATTCGCACAATTAAAACTTGTGCGCCAACTGCGACCGTACCTTGGGAAGTCTGACTTGGCCACGGTAGTCCACGCTCTGGTTACATCCCGTCTTGACTACTGCAACGCTCTCTACGTGGGGTTGCCTTTGAAGACGGCTCGGAAGCTCCAATTAGTCCAACGGGCGGCAGCCATGATACTAACCGGAGCGGGGCGCAGGGAGCATACAACTCCTCTGCTGTACCAGCTCCACTGGCTGCCGATTTGCTACCGGGCCCAATTCAAAGTGCTGGCGCTGGCCTTTAAAGCCCTAAACGGTTCTGGCCCAACTTATCTATCCGAACGTATCTCAGCCTATCAGCCCACCAGGACCCTAAGATCTTCTGGGGAGGCCCTGCTCTCTATCCCGCCGGCTTCACAGGTGCGGCTGGCGGGAACGAGAGACAGGGCCTTTTCTGTGGTGGCCCCTCGGCTTTGGAATGCCCTCCCCATAGAGGTGAGATCAGCCCCTTCGCTGATGGTATTTCGAAAAAGGTTGAAGACATGGATGTTTAAACAAGCATTCGATTAATCTGGTGCAACGAAACTGATGAACAAGGATTGGTTAATCACAGACGACGAAATTGGATTGCGACTACAATTAAGAGATGCATTGGATTATTATTGGTGGCCCAATAATATTGTGTATTGTGTATGTGTTTTTATGCTTTTTAATGGAATATTGCTGCTTGTCGTTGTGTTGTAAACCGCGTTGAATCACCGATTTAGGCTGAGAAACGGCAGTATATAAGCACAGTAATAAATAAATAAATAATAAACTGAGCACAGTTGTTCCCGAGGCATGCCGGTACACGATGCACATGCTTGTTGCAGGATGCGCGCGAACTACTAGTGTCTACAACAAAACGGACCTTACTTTAAAAATACCCCTCATATATATGTCAGCAGCAAGTCAAGGACAGAATTTTGTTAATAGCTGTGGATAAGTCAAGGGCCATTCCACGATGATGGGAAAGCGCCAGAACCACCTCAGGGGGCAGCCACTACTGCTGACACCATTTTCCTGCCCAGATATATGAAAAGATCAGAAGCATCTCTGCAGTGGAGACAGTAGAAGATGTGGGTGCTTCTTATAGGTTCACCCAGGACAGACTAAACTCTCACTTTTTGCTACTTTACTTAGTGAATGAGATTAGTCCTTTTTTTCATGAGAGTTAAAGTACAGTGTTTACAATGGCCTGTGGATAATTCAACCTGGTGTTTCAGGTTTGATGGCTATTACTACATAAATAAGCTGTGGAAGAAATTTGACTGATATACAATATATATGTTTGATTAATATGTGCTATTCTCTTTTAAATTTGTATAGAAAGAGTGTGCTAACTTCATCAAAGTGCTGAAGGCATATAACCAAACTCATCTCTATGTCTGTGGAACTGGAGCTTTCCATCCTGTGTGCACCTACATTGAAGTTGGGGGTCATCCGGAGGTAAGCACTTCTACGCTCATCAATGTGAAACAAAAGCACAAGTTCTTTGACCTTTTGCTATGACTTATTTCAGCTGTCAAAAATGCATTCCACATAGACACTATATTTATTTATTTAATGAATTAAATGTTGCTGATCACCAGTTTGAATTTATATGTGTGGTATTTAGTCATCCATAACTGGCTGGATGAAGTTTTTTAGCTGTTCAGTAATATATGGGTAGAAGAAAACAAATGAATAAAATGGTGGTGGTGGGGGGGGGGGGGCTAGACAATACTATTGTTAATTGGATTTGTAATTGGTTAAGTGACTGAACTCAAAAGGTGCTCACCAATGGTTCCTCTTCATTCTGGAAAGAAGGGACGAGTGAAGTGCCACAGGGTTCAGTCCTGATCCCAGTACTGTTCAACATCTTTCTTAATGACTTAGATGAAGGTTTAGATGGCATGCTTATCAAGTTTGCAGATGACATCAAATTAGGAGGGATAGCTAATATTCCAGAGGACAGGATCAGCATTCAAAATGATTTTAATGGATTAGAGAGCTGGGTCAAAAATAACAACATGAATTTCAACACTTAGGCAAAGCTCCAGGATGGGCGATGCCTGATTAAAAAACAATACATATGAAAAAGATCTTGGAGTCCTCGTGGCAAGAAGTTGATCATGAGCCAACAGTATGATGCAGCAGAGGCTTTTAAACAGAGGCTGGATGGCCAACTGTTGGGAGTGTTTTGATTGTGCTTTTCCTGAATAGAAGGGTTTGGACTAGATGGCCCATGTGGTCTTTTCCAACTCAATTATTTTATGATGTCATGTGTATATAAATTTACCTATCTTGTTTACAATATCAGCTGCTTATTCTTCCTTTTCTGTTCATGACCGAACTGCCCAAAAGTCAGTTTCTTGGTGAACAGTACTAATTATTTTCCTGGCATCAGCCCAACAGACTTTGCTGCCTGAGGCAGAACGGCAAATGGCCACACTGTCCCTGTTCAAGTCAATATGCAAAATGCATACAGGCAACCAGTTATGACAGAAATTCCCACAAGTACCTCTCTATCTGCCTGAGAGTCAAACTATAATGAGAAAAATTTAAATGTAGAATAACCCACTGACCTTCTATAACACCCTGTATCTGCTGCCTGAGACAAACCTCCTCACTGACACTTGTGAGATATATCAAGAACTAGGATTTCTCTGATAGCTTCATTATCTGTTGTATATTTTTCCCAGTGTGAAGTAGTATTATAGTAACACACTTACGATCTTTAAAAAAGGAATGTGTTTTGCTACCCCATCCCCTCCTCAATGTGACTTTCATTGCTACAGCTCCAAGGACATGTCAGATCTGTGAAACAGATTTTCCCGATCTTTTCTGGGAAGACATGCATTTAATTTATGGTGATGTTTTTCAGTTGATTCTTCTATTACATTTTCTTGCTTTGATGTTAGAAGCGCATTTACTAGAAAGCTGCCTTAAGAATTTGACATTCAAGATTGTAGATTGCCATAGAAAATAAGGACATCGTAATTTCAGTGAACAGGTACACTTAATCATTTAAAATCATCATGTAGAAAAAAATAATATTCCTCCAGTGATGACTTAAGAACTATGATGTTTCTCTCCACTTCTTCATATTCTCTCTCCCCCCTCCTCCGCCCCATAATATCTTAATTTCTAGGCATGCTGTTTTACCTGGAAAGGAGATTTATTTACAACTAGCTGTCCCCTGTCACGCGTTGCTGTGGCCCAGTCTGTTGATCTGGAAAATAAAGTAATAAGAAAGTGTTGGTTTCTAATATATGTAATATCTTTATGCTTGTGGGTAAACAGTATTTCTTGCTGTTTCTTTGTCAATGTTGATGTGGAGAGTGTCTACTTTGCCCACCTTGGAACATGCAACATAGCATTTTCCTTTTGTAAGGGTCCCTTTCAAATCTATGATACTATATCTCTGTGTGTGTGAATCATATCTATCTTTCTATATCTATGGCTGGATGGCTCCTTGTCAGGAGGACTTTGATTATGTTTTCTTGCCCTGGTAAAGGGGGTTGGACTGGATGGTCTTAAGTATTTTCTGTTGGTCATGGGGGTTCTGTGTGGGAAGTTTGCCCCGATTATGTCGTTCATGGGATTCAGAATGCTCTGTGATTGTAGGTGAACTGTGCATCCCAGTGGCTAAAACTCCCAAATGTCAATATTCTATTTTCCCCAAACTCCACCAGCGTTCATATTTGGGCTGTCCCCTGCCATGCGTTGTTGTGGCCCAGTCTGTGTATATGTGTTTTTTATGTATGCATATGTGTGTATATATTTGTGTTTATGTGTATTCATGTGGTTATGTGGGGTGATGGCGGCTGACGGGGAGCTGGTCCATGAGGTCATGAAGAGTCGGAAGTGACTGAACGAATAAACAACAACAATGTGTTTATGCGCATATGTTGTAATGTAATGTATTTTTTATTTTATTTTTTGCATTTTAAAGTCTCTTCCACTGTGTTTTTATGTGTGATGGTCACTCGTTGGCCTGATAGGTGTATTGGTCCAAATTTGATGTCAGTTCACCCGGTGGTTTTTGAGTTATGTTAATCCCACAAACTAACATTACATTTCTTATTTATTTAGATAGATATAGTACATTAATTTCATCCAAAGTGGAATGAAAATGATATATATATATAGATTTATATATACTAACCGTCCCCTGCCACGCGTTGCTGTGGCCCACATGGGGGTTCTGTGTGGGAGGTTTGGCCCAATTATATCATTGGTGGGGTTCAGAATTTTCTGTGATTGTAGGTGAACTATAAATCCCAGCAACTACAACTCCCAAATGTCAAGATTCTATTTTCCCCAAACTCCACCAGTGTTCACATTTGGGCATATTGAGTATTCGTCTAGAGTTTGGTCCTGATCCATCTTTTTTTGAGTCCACAGTGCTCTCTGGATGTAGGTGAACTACAACTGCAAAATCAAAGGAATTGTGCCCACCAAACCCATCCAGTATTTTCTGTTGATCATGGAAGAACTGTGTGCCAAGTTTGGTTCAATTCCATCATTGGTCGGGTTCAGAATGCTCTTTGATCGTAGGTGAACTATAAATCCCAGCAACTACAACTCCCAAATGTCAAGATTCTATTTTCCCCAAACTCCACCAGTGTTCACATTTGGACATATTGAGTATTTGTGCCAAGTTTGGTCCAGGTCCATCATTGTTTGTGCCCACAGTGATCTCTGGATGTAGGTGAACTACAACTCCAAAACCAAAGGACACTGCCCACCAAACCCTTCAGGTATTTTTGGTTGGTAATGGGGGTTCTGTGTGGGAAATTTGCCCCAATTCTGTCATTGGTGAGGTTCAGAATGCTCTTTGCTTGTAGGTGAACTATAAATCCCAGTAACTACAACTCCCAAATGACAAAATCATTTTTTTAGTGAAGGACATACATTGCGTTGTTAGGTGTCTTGTGTCCAAATTTGGTGTCAATTCGTCCAGTGGTTTTTGAGTTCTGTTAATCCCACAAACGAACATTACAAACATTACATTTTTATTTATATAGATTAATAAAAGATTGTTTGATGTGGGAACTTCAAACAATCCCAGTAACTACAACTCCCAAATGACAAAATCAATTTTTGAGTGAAGGACATACATTACGTTGTTAGGTGTCTTGTGTCCAAATTTGGTGTCAATTCATCCAGTGGTTTATGAGTTCTGTTAATCCCACAAACGAACATTACATTTTTATTTATATAGATTAATAAAAGATTGTTTGATGTGGGAACTTACTGAAAAATACTGAAATGCTTTTTTTTCAACATGTATTTTTATTAGTTATCAATTGTCTCTAGACCACACACTAGCACACACAGTATGTCACTGCTTACTGCATTAAACAGATTTTTGCTTCCTGAGGTTCCTTGGGGAATTGGTAGACATATTAATTAACCCTGTTCCGCAAAATGCATGTCAGTCAATTATTGGGGATCTGCCAAGAAGACAGTCTGCAGATAGATGGCAAATATGAGATCATTTACTTTTTATAGTTTTATGAGCAGGCAAGATAACCCACACACATGGACACATTTATGGAACGAGAGATCCAAAATGTGAAGCTGGCATAAATCTTTCTGCCAAACATATACTGTAGTGTAGAACTGCACAATGTTATCTTTTTAAACTCCCCCACTCTCTCTTTTATATCTTTATGTTTACTGTACAATTATAGCAAGAAGAACCCCTGTGAAAAGTGTTAGGGCTGGAAGGATCTTTTCTCTTTATGGCTGCAGTTTTAATCAATTATATTGTATATTGTAGCATTTTTACCACTGTTCACTGATTTGAGGTTTTTTTAAAGAGAGAAACAGCTGCATATAGTATTAGTAGTAATAGTAGTAGTAGTAGTAAGGGGAAGAAGTAGTAGTAGTTCAACTTGTGATTTTGTGATATGAAATCCAGCATATACAAGGGATTTTTTTAAGTAAGGTCTGTTTTGTTGTATACACTAGTAGTTCGCACATACCGCAACGAGCACGTGCGTCATGTACCGGCATGCCTCAGGAACAACTGTGCTCAGTTTACGCTCTGTAGCTAACCTGTACGGTTCTGTTCTGTGCTTTAAAAATGTTTAAGACTATCAACTCACCCTCCGCATGTGAGGTTCGTTCAGTGATACGGTTTTTGTCAGCAAGGAACCTGCCTGCTGCAGAAATTCATCGACAGATTTGTGAAGTGTACAGTGATACTGTTATGAGTGAAAGCAAAGTGCAGAAGTGGGTACGACAATTTAAAGATGGCCGTGACAACATCCATGATGAGGACCACTCCGGTCGTCCTTCTTTGATTACAGACGATTTGATTTGATCGCACACTCAAATCTTTGGTTTTTGTGGTCCTCTGTTAGGAGTTTCAGGACCCAACGGGAGCACAGTTTCCTAAACTTTAGGTATTCAGAAACAATGTTGTAAAGAACTGATCTGGACACGTCAGGAAATTT